AACAATAAAAGCCTCTGTGTGAAAATAAGGCGTCAAATCTTGTTTTTACTTTTAGTTTTGTAGCTTTTAGCTGCCCGAACAGGCATGCAGCAATCAACAATCAGGCTATATATAGGTCAACAACAATCAAACAACCATGAAACAATCAACACAACCCAATTCCAGCAACAATCACCAGACATCCACAACACTCCAGAAACAATCAACACAACACCACGGTACCTCGTAAGGGTCCCGCGGCGACGTGCGGTCCGACCCGCCCATCTTGACCGAGGCCTTGGCCTGCAGCCAGCGGCGGCCCTGGTGGTTGCTCAGCCTCCAGATGGGCGTCATGGGACGGGGCTCCGAGCCCCCGGCGGGTCGCACGTACACGCGGATGCCGCCCAGCGAGGGCCCGGCGGGGTCCACCGTGCGCTCGTGCATGTAGTAGAAGAAGGTGACGCAACGGAAGCGGCCCTCGCCCAGCCCCGAGAACTGCGGACTCACCAGCCAGGCCCGCGTCAGCCCGCGCTGGGGCAACAGGGCACTGCTCAGGAGACTCATGTAGTACCCTGCTCCAGCCAGTGCTCCATATCATTGTCTAGTACTCTATTCTACACACAATTTTCAATTCTGCCAATAGAATCACGTTTTGATAAAGACTACCGCGCTGCACGTCGAAATATCGCTATGTACAATATGCCTCTTGTGTACAGTACTCCATAACATGGTGGGCATGCAGTACCATGGGCAGAGAGATATTACTATAGTTCCATTAGCGCAGACCACAAATGATCCATAGAAGAAACAGCAGCTCATGTTTTAACTCTACAGCCACCTACAATATAAGCAGTCCGTTTAAGACAAGAGGTTCGTTTAAGACACCCACCCTCGCTGTCCGCCTTGGTGTGGTCCCCCGCGGGATCGTTCACCGTGTAACTGTACTGCCGTGTCCAGTCGAAGTCATCCACGCCGTCCACCGGGTACACGTTGTTCCAGCCGCACGTGTTCTCCTCGAACGTACAGTCTCCTGCAGCACGGTGGGTCAGCGGTTGTGAGGAATACTGCGATATACTGCGGGACATAAATATGGGAAACGTTTATTTTATTGGGAGAACGTTTCACACGAGTTTTAGAACCGTATGGTTCCGGTGTAAATGTGCTCCATATATATATAAAGGTCGCCTCTCCCGTCAAAACAGACGCTAACTCTAAGCGCCATCTTTTAGCCTATCCACTCTACCAGCTAAACACCTATTTGGCTAATTGTTAAGATTACATTTGATTCTTTGTGGATCTCATGTACCTCGCTGGTGTTGTGGCTTTGTCACCGACCCGAGGCCGCTAGTTTGTGGAGACGGTCAATAAATGGCGCCTAGTTTTGACATCTATTTTGACGGGAAAGGTGACCTTTGCTCTCATAAAAAGATAGTTTATAAAAAAGGGCGCGTATCCACTTCAATAAATTGGAAGATGCCCTGTGTGGTGAGCTTCCGCTAAGGAAGAACAAACAGTTGGAGAAACTCACCACATGGATTATATCTACCTATATATCAAATAACAACTTGTAACTGTGGCTTTGTTAATTTTTAAATAAATGCATTAATTTTATTTATATATATATATATTATCCCTAGTACACGTGGTACAGGCCATGATAATCATGGTGGTTAGAAGTAGGCGACTGCTTTTACTGTAAGTGCACCACATGTCTATACATGTAAAAAGCAGTTTGACTTTGCACGTAAAAGTGTGCCAGAGTACCGTTTGGTTACTTGCACTCGCTAATGGGGTTGGACCTTTGCAAGAATTGGGGGCCATTGGAGCATTTTTTTAATTTGAAAAAAATTGTCCAATACGGGAATCGAACCCGGGTCGTAGCGGTCCCCTATGTATTAAAATACAATCATGGACAAAACTTAAGGAAGTCGAAATTCTTTGTTGCCGCCGGTCATCTATTTTATTGAAGGAGACAGGGACAATTTTGTTCACACTTGGTTCTCTCGAATGCATTCAATAAAGGTCACTTTAATATCTTTCAGAGTTATTGTCTGAAACCCGATATACATGGGTTCAACTTCCTTAAGTTTTGTCTATGAGTGTATATATTTTTTACCTTTCCTAATTCAATTCAAAATCCAGCCCTGTTATACATGCTGAAAGGTACAACTTCCTTAAGTTTTGTCTCTCCATGAGTATGTATGGTACGTTCCTTATGTAAGACAGACAGGGGTGTAAGTATGCCACAGTGAGATGACGTCACTCACCGGAGTTGAAGGAGGCGGCCTGGGGATAGACTAGACAGACAGACACAGTCAGGTGTGGGGACAGCTTGGTGACACACGGACAGTACTCACTGGGACAGGCTCCCTCCCTGAAGGACACGTTGTCCACGGCGATGTTCCCCAGGTGGTTGGCCCCGACCACTCCTTCCATGATCAACTGCCACAGAACACTTCAACAGCTGGAGATTGACAAACACATTTATTGATATCTTACTTAAAGCTAATCATAATGGTAATATCAATTATAAAAAGAAAGGATTTAAAAGCACGAATGTTTCTTTTATACATAATACAAACTTCTACTGTCCTTACTGCGATGAAAAAATATATTGGGAGGGCTTGGCTCATCAGTGGTGAACCCTCCCAGCGGGGGGGCAACGCTGGGAGGGTTCACCACTGATGAGCCAAGCCCTCCCAATATATTTTTTCATCGCAGTAAGGACAGTAGAAGTTTGTATTATGTATAAAAGAAACATTCGTGCTTTTAAATCCTTTCTTTTTATATGTATAGATGGCGTGTTATTGCTTTGTGTTAATATGAATTATATTTATAATTTCTTGAATATAAAGCAATCCATATGAAAATATTAATTAAAAGGCATATTTTGGATCTAAAATACAACAAAACATTTAATACAAAATACCAATATTTCAATAGGCTGTACTCCTAACTTCGTCAGGGCTTTTTCTTGTTTTTAAATCGTCGCGTGAAGGCATCCTGTGATCAACCAAAGCAGTTCAAATACAAGAAAAGCCCTGACGGCGTACAGCCTATTGAAATATTGGCATTTTGTATTAAATAAAATGTTTGTTTTATTTTAGATCCAAAATATGCCTTTTAATTAATATTTATAATTATATGTAATTCTACTGTCCTCGAAGCTTATGTCCATAGTTCATCTAAAATACCCATTCCAAGAGTCTAGCAACAGTATCACTATAAAAGGAAGATCGAAAAATGCAATATAACAGCAGTATGGTAGATTAAACTGGCGAAACCGCTGGGAGGGTTCACCACTGATGAGCCAGGGGCCCTCCCATTAATTTTTCTATTGCAGTAAGGACAGTAGAAATTGTTTATTTTTAAAAATAATCTTACGCGTCTAAAATAATTTCGAATTTTCAATATGAAATTTATACAAGAAAGTGACAAGCTAATAAATAGAAGACAAAAAAACCTCCCAATGCGGGATTCGATCCTAAAAACTAGCGGTCTGTGACGTAGCCACAATACATGTAGGTGATCCTCAGCTGGTATTGTGGCTTTGTAGGTGGTTCCGTCTCTAGAGTGGGTGGAGAGGCGTCTCTACGTGTTGTCCTCCGTAGGGGTGCCACTGACTGATGTCCAGTGAAGCTGTAAGCTGGCCGTCTGTCCTTGGTCGTCTGAGGCGGCGCACGTGTCTTGAAACTCTTGGGTCTTCGCTCTGTGTGTGCGCCATTGGGAGCGTCACAGCCGTACGCGAAATTGCACCGGGGACGCCTGGTGTTGAAAAACCAAGGGGTGCACACAGTAGTAACACCCCCCCGCCTTCTCGTTGGTTCCTCGTGAAAACCTCGTGCCTCAGAGGTCCCTGACTCGTCGGCGGATTCAGGGAGTACTGGATAAGGGTACGAGGGCTAAAGGGGGGGGAGTCCTATGGGAGCGTAGGACGGGTCTTTCTAAGTCCGAACGAGAGGGCTCGGTCAGCAACCTTGCCAATGAACTCTCGGTGACGCCTGTGGGTGAATGGTCAACCCCATGGAGCCAGACCATAATGGCGGGCGCGAGGGGCCTACCAATGGCCGCTCGGTGCATGGAGAATGCATCATTCCTTCTGGCTGTGTGTGGATCTAGATTTCAGCGAAACGCAGTGGACGCAAGGGCCGCATTGAGCCCATATCGTCCCTGGCCCTGCTTCGCAGGGCCGAATTTCCTATCTGACCTGAGTCGGCCAGATTGAGAGACGGTCATTAGATGGCCCTTAGTTTTAGCGTCAATTTTTGACTAGAGGAACAAAAATTAACTAAACGTTGATTTAAGCATGTTCCATAATATTTGACCTTGATAAAACAATAACATTGGTTGGAGTTTAGTTTATTTTTGTTCCACTAGATGGCGCTCTGCTTATGTGAGAGGTCAGGATATATTATTATTATTTGACCACAACACACCTGTGTTTTATAATAAATAAATTTGATTGGTTTTTCGTACAACGTTTTCACCAATGCGAACCTGGGTCCATTCTGTTAGTATTACATATAATCGAGTTACATATAATTGTCTCTATTTGCATATTTACAATATCTGTTCCATGATTGTTGTAATATGCGCACACGGCTCCAGGTAACTTCGATCTGCGCGGACGTTCTGTGAAGATTTGCATAATGGATCCATCAGACAATTGTCCATCAATCCCGGGAATTGTTCCAATAAATTACATAACCCAGGGGAGACGTTATGGTAGTCCACCAATCACTAATGGCGGCTTGATGGATCGCACTTCCGGCTTCTGCCGTAATTGTGGAGGTCGGTGACTCAAGCCGCCAATGTCAACAACCGTTTGGTCACCAGGGTGTAGATTGTGTTTGAAGAAGAATTAGAAACATTGTAAAACGACATTTAAAAATTATCCGGCATGAGTTTCCTTTCAACGAAAACTCAAAATTTATTTTAAGGAGAAATAACGATTATTTCTAACCTTAGGGATGAGGTATGAATGAATGAATTGTGAAGAGTATGATAAACGGAAAAATAAAAGTTCCAGGGATGGGAATCGAACCCACAGTGTTCCGCTTACCGGGCAGATGCCATGTCCACTAGGCTACCACACATGGCATCTGCCCGGTAAACGGAACACTGTGGGTTCGATTCCCATTCCTGGACACTTTTATTTTTCCGTTTATCATTACTCTTTCACAATTCATCCATTCATACCTCATCCCTAAGGTTAGAAATAATCGTTATTTCTCCTTAAAATAAATGTTGATTTTTCGTTGAAAAGAAACACATGCGGGATAATTTTAAAATGTCGTTTTACAATCACAAGCCACATTATATTGGTTTGTATTAATTATAAACATTATTGTACAATATATGTTAAACGGTCTCTATAGTGGAGATAAAAGAGAACCGCGCATGCTCTTTGTCATTACATTTCCATCGTCTGCTGAGATATTTTGGCCCGCTCTCTAGTTCTTCTTGTTGTTGTTGTCGTGTCCAATGAAGAGTCTCAGATGTCTCCATGCATCTCCATCACAGCAGCAGCAATGTCCACTATCTTAGGTGTGTAAAGCTGCTGCTCTGGGTGTATGTCAATTTTCTGCAAGGCTGCGGCCATTGCTGGACATGAGAATATGTGGATAGGTGTTAGTTCCACACCAGGACAGTTGTTACATGTCCTTTAGGTTCTTGTGCCATCTGGATGTATTGTCATTCCTTTTTAGTGTTCTCTAGTCCTTTTTACAATTAAGAAAATGGAACAATGGAATTAAAGCTTAGAGACACAGCGCTGAAGTTTTCTCGTCCGTTTATCAACCATTCAAAGTTAGGATATATTCAGTAAGTTACATATTAGAAATCTCTATTGATAAATTATCTTCTCTTGTTTGTTATGATAGATATCCGAACGCTAAATATGGCTAAACGTTTCAACCCCTATATATTTTAATATATATTTTTATTATAGATGTTTTTTATGCGTTATTATTTTAAGTTTAAAAATAAAGCAGACGATGTTTACGTTACATAGATGGAAATTCGAAACTATTATAGACACGTATGATTCTTTTAAAAATTAAACAGTTTCTACTGTCCTTACTGTAATGAAAAAAAAAAATAGTTTAAAGGCTTCAAGATGCTTCAATGGAATCAAGGCTTCAATGGAAATATTAATAGGAGGGCCTGGCTCATCAGTGGTGAACCCTCCTAGCGGTTTCGCCAGTTTAATCTACCATACCTCTGTTATATTGCATTTTTTCTATTTTACTTTTATAGTGATACTGATGTTAGACTTTTGGAATGGTTTAATTTTTAAAAGAATCATACGCGTCTATAATAGTTTCAAATTTTGATAACAGATGGTGCGGTGATACATCATAGATGGAAATGTTGCCGGGTGGAGTTTCATCTTAAAAAATACAGGACTCCCGTGGTCTCCATGTGGACACTTCTCAGTTTAGAAAGAAGGAATCATATATCGCCGCAACTCTTTTTATTATTATAGCGGTTAAGGAAGCTTTCGGGCAAGCCCTTCTTCAGCTAATTATATAATATATATAATTATATAATAATAATAAAAAAGAGTTGCGGCGATATATGATTCCTTCTTTCTAATTTGTCGAAATCCGCAAACCGTTTACCATGAACTTCTCAGTTTGTCAAAGCTGGTGTCGTGGCTCTGTCACCGACATGTGTGGAGATGGTCCATAGCTGTCGTGTTTACCTCCAGTGCCGCGGCTCACCTCGTACGTGGTGGGCGAGTAGACGGGCACCTGCGCCGTGTACCAGTTGTTGCCCGCGTCCCCCGAGATCTCCCAGATCACCTTCTCCGTCTCCCCCTCCCGCAGGATCACCCGCAGCACACCCACCCCGTTGCCGAACATGTGGGTGGCGAACTTCAGACACACTGGGTTGTTGTCACCTGTCACACAGCGTCCCGTGACATCGTACACTGGGTGGAGGCTCATACATGGACCACATCACATCATACATGGACCACATCACATCATACATGGACCACATCACATCATACATGGACCACATCACATCATACATGGACCACATCACATCATACATGGACCACATCACATCATACATGGACCACATCACATCATACATGGACCACATCACATCATACATGGACCACATCACATCATACATGGACCACACAACATCGCACATAGACCACATACAGACCACACTAAACTCAGACCACACACGGGTCACATAAACCACACACAGAGACCACAGTAACACACAGACCACACATCACACATGGACTACACACCATTGAATAGTGGGCTACCTAGACCGAAGTCTGTACGTCTGACATGGACCACACAGAGACAACACAACACACTCGGACCACACAACACACACGGACCACACAGAGACCACACAACACACACGGACCACACAAAGACCACACAACACACTCGGACCACACAACACACACGGACCACACAAAGACCACACACAGACCTGTGGGCTGGAACTCCGGGCTGACCAGTCTGGCGACGTCACCAGGCCGCCGTGGGAAGGCGGAGTCGATGTAGATGTAGCCTCCTGTCACCACAGCTGACTGTCAACACGGCGTCTACAGCGGAGACACACAGGAGGCACGACAACAGACCTGCCTGGATGTCCCGGCCGAAGCTACTGAAGTCCTTGGCCGGCCCAGTGAGGGTGTTCTGGGAGCCGCGGCCCATCTGCCAGTCGAAGTCGTCTTCCTCGATGTTCTTCCACTCGCAGAAGCCGCCCTCGAACGTGCAGTGCCCTGCACACAATATATAGTACCTAGGTATGTATGTACAAAAAGTGGTACCTCTCCCTTTAAATATACATTACAACACTGCTTATTGTTCATCACCCCAGTACAAAACGTAACGGCGGTGATTCGCGCGCCTTCGTTCGAAGCCCAAGAACCATCATGTTTCCAATCTACGCGTTCTTTCACGATGGCAATGCATCTCACAATATAATGCAATCTGCAAAGAGAAGCGTCACATTTAAACATGACACTGTCGGACGCTCCCGGAGGTGGAGTTATCACATATTTAACAAACATTCTATAGTTTTTAAGTTAAATGGGAAATGTGTTTTGTATTTGGTTAGCGAACTGATCTCCCACGTCATTGGACAAATGTTTGTATATAAAGGTGGTTTCAAAGTGAGATACGAGGGTCTTCCAGGAGTTGATGTGTGGAGAGGTTCTCTGTGTCTGGTGATCATACCTCCGTTCCTATCTACGCTTCAATAAGTTCTACTTTTCTTATAACTTATCGTGTTTTTTTATTTACGTTTTCCCTTTTTGTTGTTGTTGTACCTTTTGTATGTACGTGTTTCGGTGTGTTAACCTACTTTTTACTTTAGGAATTTAATTTTGTGTGTAAACCTCTTTAAAAGTATCTTTTGTCCAGGTATGTGTATCCTGGGTAACGTCAGATTTGAGGGGGAAGAGAGGAAGCCGTTATCTGTATTCCATACACTACCTTGATAGTTTGACGGGACATTCCTTTCTTCTACAGACCTATCCAAGTTACAAGCCAGATATAATGATAGAAAGGGTGGTCGCTCAGGGAGGTGGTCGCCTGAGAGAGGAGTTACCCTGGCAGTCCTCGGCCCCGGGCTCCCCGAAGTCGAAGTCGTCCAGGGCGACGTAGCCGCGGTAGGCTCGGACTGGGTCGCTGACCTTCTTGGGCACTCCCTCGAACATCACCTGCGGCACGTGGACTGGGTGTAACCTCCTCCTTACATCACACGTAGTACAGACCATGATAATCATGGTGGGTAGTAAGTGACTTTACATAACCCCAATCACACGTAGTACAGACCATGATAATCATGGTGGGTAATAAGTGACTTTACATAACCCCAATCACACGTAGTACAGACCATGATAATCATGGTGGGTAATAAGTGACTTTACATAACCCCAATCACACGTAGTACAGACCATGATAATCATGGTGGGTAGTAAGTGACTTTACATAACCCCAATCACACGTAGTACAGACCATGATAATCATGGTGGGTAGTAAGTGACTTTACATAACCCCAATCACACGTAGTACAGACCATGATAATCATGGTGGGTAGTAAGTGACTTTACATAACCCCAATCACACGTAGTTCAGACCATGATAATCATGGTGGGTAATAAGTGACTTTACATAACCCCAATCACACGTAGTTCAGACCATGATAATCATGGTGGGTAGTAAGTGACTTTACATAACCCCAATCACACGTAGTACAGACCATGATAATCATGGTGGGTAGTAAGTGACTTTACATAACCCCAATCACACGTAGTACAGACCATGATAATCATGGTGGGTAGTAAGTGACTTTACATAACCCCAATCACACGTAGTTCAGACCATGATAATCATGGTGGGTAGTAAGTGACTTTACATAACCCCAATCACACGTAGTTCAGACCATGATAATCATGGTGGGTAATAATTGACTTTACATAACCCCAATCACACGTAGTACAGACCATGATAATCATGGTGGGTAGTAAGTGACTTTACATAACCCCAATCACACGTAGTACAGACCATGATAATCATGGTGGGTAGTAAGTGACTTTACATAACCCCAATCACACGTAGTACAGACCATGATAATCATGGTGGGTAATAAGTGACTTTACATAACCCCAATCACACGTAGTACAGACCATGATAATCATGGTGGGTAGTAAGTGACTTTACATAACCCCAATCACACGTAGTACAGACCATGATAATCATGGTGGGTAGTAAGTGACTTTACATAACCCCAATCACACGTAGTACAGACCATGATAATCATGGTGGGTAATAAGTGACTTTACATAACCCCAATCACACGTAGTTCAGACCATGATAATCATGGTGGGTAGTAAGTGACTTTACATAACCCCAATCACACGTAGTTCAGACCATGATAATCATGGTGGGTAGTAAGTGACTTTACATAACCCCAATCACACGTAGTTCAGACCATGATAATCATGGTGGGTAGTAAGTGACTTTACATAACCCCAATCACACGTAGTTCAGACCATGATAATCATGGTGGGTAGTAAGTGACTTTACATAACCCCAATCACACGTAGTTC